AAGAGTAGAGATCAGGTGTTCTGTTTGACTACAGGTGCAAGCAGAGAAGACAGGAGCAGTGTTGGCAAACGTGATGCAAGCCTTTCTAACTAGAGTGACTCTCAGGATACCCTCCTACAGATTCCCTTTCAAACTCTCCTGTTTGTGGTCCCCTGCTCGCTTAGCCTCTGGCTTTTAAAGCCTCCTCTCCTAGGTCAGCCCTTCCCTGTTAACCACACAAGGAGAGAGTGATCACATGGCCAAATGAGGCCTTGTAGAATGTAGTTGGAATTAGTGATATGTAAATACACTGTATTACAGTGTTAATGAGTGAAATTATGTCTCCCTGCTCACTTGTCTGCATAATTATGGAATTGATAAAATTAAATGGAATGACCATTCTGCCTTGTGAGGGGGACAGGAAGCAGTGAACCCCCAAAAGGAACGTCATGCGGCTTCCTTTACACTGCAGAACCATGCACAATAGCAACACAGTGTTGTATAACAGAGCATGCAGGGAGGCTAGCCGGAGCATGCTCTGAGAGTTTTTGAACTGAGAGATTTACTAGAGGCAGATTCCACCAAGGCAGGAGTAAGGGGTGGCAATATCACTGCACAGCCCATATTACAGTCTGAAAGCTGTAGCAATAGCCCTGGAATGGTTGTGTGTGTATTTTACATTCTGCCTTATGCCTAGTTAAGGAATCTGTTCCTCCACCTCGCATTTTAGACTGAGGAGACTTGAGGGGGGCAACATATGTTTCACTCAGTGTAGTTAACTTTGTAACCTTGTAGAAAAGCCAGAGTTCACTTGCATTATTACTTAGAGATGATGCTTTGGGGGCAAGAGAGTCCTTTTCCTCAACCTATAACAGCATGCTTATCAGTGTTTTACTTTTTGGTAAAATACCATAATTTGAAAATTCTGTACAAAAGAGCAAGCATTTATATTAAAAATGGATTTCATCATCAAGAACCCACATATAAGAGTTTTCAAAAGCTCAGGATATAAAGATTTCCCTAAGGATTCGACTGTGTTATTACCGGAAAATATTCTGTGAGGAAGTTTGTAATAAGAGAACTCCCTAATAATTCCCTACATCTAAACTACATCCCTCTTTTGAAAGACAGATGTAAATTCGACATATCGAAATTGCAAATGAAGCCGGGATTTGAATTTCCTATGCTTCATTTGCATAATTGCATCATGGAGTTCACAAAAAATGCTATTTCAAAAGTGAAACCATGGTCTAGATGCGGTTCTTTTGAAAAGAAAAGCCTTTCAAAAGATCCTATACTCCTTAAAAAAAAGGGGAAAAAAATGAGGTTTATGTCTACACAGAACCAAATTTCAAAATAGAGTGCTATTCCAAAACGCCCCATAATCCTCATGGAACGAGGTTTACAGGGACGCCCGAATAGCAAGCCCATTATTTCGAAAGCTATTTTGAAATAACGGGCTTGTTTAAAAGATGCAGAATAGCTATTTTGGGATACAGGAAGTATCCCGCAACAGCGCCACAGTGTAGATCCCAACCTTTTCCAGGTGGGGACCCATTTTGACAATTCAGGAAGACTTGGTGACCCAAGGCAATTCAAAAACGGGGGGGGGGGAGGGAGGACAGAACCACTGGGGAGACACTTGGCAACCCTTTTGAAATGTAATGGTGACCCATATTTGGGTCCCAACCCATAGGTTGGGGAACCCTGGTGTAGATGTACCTTAAGTAAATAATGGTAATGAACAGACCTCCACTATTCCAATGGTATCAGGGACATTTTGCTTCCTCTCCTAGAATCTTAATTTCAGAGAGAAGAGATGGCTTGGGCAGCAAGGCTATCATTAAAAACGAGGTGTGGTAATCTAGAAAGCAATGTTTAACCACTTAGAAGTGTGATCCTGGGTAGCACTATTAGCATTTTAACTAAATGCCAGTTCTGTTCAACTTGACAGCAAAATGGATAAGTGCAGCATTTTGAGATGATGGTTACAAATGGGCAATAGGGATAAACATTTCCCAGGCATCCAGCTCTGTCATGTGTTTGGTATTGTGTGTATGTGTTTGCTACTTTAAAAGAAAAAAAATGTGAGGTTTAAAATAGAGTAAATGGTGGATTCACTGTAACTTGCAGTCTTTAAATCATGATTTGAGGACTTCAGTAACTGAGACAGAACTTAGGATGTCTATTAGAGGAGTGGCTGGGTGAGGTTTCATGGTGTGCAACATGCAATAGGTCATACTAGATGATCACAATAGTCTCTTCTGGCATTAAAGTCTGAGATATTGTTTTTCTGAATGCTGCTTTGTGCTGTTCCATCAGTTCTGCTGGTTTCTTGGGCTTGGAACTATACGGCTATTCTTCCTGTGAAAGAATTTCCTAGTGGCCTGGCTGGAAATTTGGCCTCTTTTTAAGCATTCTGTTCATCATAATCCAGATGGGTATTTCAGGCCTGTGCTAAAGATACTTAGAAGACAAGAAGCTCATGAGTTGTGAAGCCCTGCTTAAAACTGTTACCATTCACTTCATCTTTATTAATGGTATAGGCAATTTAAGTTGCCTTCTGTTCTCCTGCTACAGATAAACTTAGTCTGCACACCTTTCTTGGTCAGCCTCGATAACAATTTCAGGCACAATTTTACTTGGCAGATGGATTACTAGCAAAATCTGCTCTTTTATGATAGAGGCGGCAGAAATGGTGTGGGGTTTTTTTTGTTTTTTTTACTTTGAATACAAAAGTGCAGTAGTCAGAAAATATAGGTCTTGAAAACAAGAGTGCTGGATGAGGTGTTAAATAACACTTTTTAAATTATTCATCACACGAACACACATTGAGCTGCTTCAATCAAATTCAGTGTAGGCTGTTTGCTGGGGAACTGACAATGGCAGCTCTGCCTTCAGGGCAGCTGTGTGCTGGGGCATTGCCCTGGTCAGAAAAGTAATACTTTAAAAATGTTCAAAAATTAGTGTATAAATTTTCAGAGTAATGAATGCTTTGGGGAGTCTCAGTCTTTGAGTACCCTGTCTGACACTGAAAGGGCTCCATTTTTTAGAAGGTCCAAGAAACTGCTTTGAAAATCAGGCATCAGGTTGGGAACCCAAATTGTTAGTCACTTTTGAAAATAACGATAAAGTGTGGGAGGTCTAGGATGGATGTTAGGAAAATCTGTTTCACAAAGAGGTGGTGAACCACTGGAATGGGTTACTAGGGACGTGGTGGAATCTCCATCCCTAGAGGTTTTAAGTCCTGGTTTAACAAAGCCCTGGCTGGGATAATTTAATGGGAGTTGGTCCTGCTTTGGGCAGCAGATTGCACTCGATGACCTCCTGAGGTTTCTTCCAGCCCTAGAATTCTATATTGATAATATGGTTCATAAATAACCAGTAATAGACTCTAGGATTGTTGCTCAAATACCCATGGCTGCATGCGCCAGTTACAGTGCTGTTTGTAGAGCAAGGCAACACAGAGAAAAAAAAAACACGTAAGTTCTCTAGTTAAGGTAGACACAGCGTGGATTAACCCACATCTGTTGTGCTGCAAGCAGCTGGTAGGAACAGTGAGACACATCAGACCAGTCTTGGAGGAGGCATACATATTGAGACAGACTATTTCATATCTGGGATGAACAACTTGTCTCTGGCATAATTTTCTTGGCATATTTGATGGAGATAGAGGTTTAGTAACTGGAAGCAGAGGATGATAAACTGTGCCGCAGACCCATCCCAGCACACACATGCAGTCTGGGGAAGCTGCAACCAAGCTGGTGCCTTCTGTCACCTGGGCCATGTTGCCTTGGGGGAGAAACTAGCCAGAGACTCCATCTGAGAGGATCAAAAGCAACCAAAGCAGACAACTATGGAAATTGAAAAAAATGTGTATAGTTTTGACTGGACTTTCTCTGCCCTGTGCTGATTGTTTATGTCAACCCTCCCCCTTTGCTGCCCTCAGTCTTTTCATCTCAACTTCACTCAATATTTGTCCCTCTTACCCTCTTCTCCCCTGGCCTGTTTCCTACTCCCCTCTTCCCATCAGTGTTCCTTCTCCCTTCACTTGGCTTTCCACATCATGGAACTGTCACATTTGCTGCCATGACCAAGTTCAGTCTCTAATTTATCACTTTCTCCACCCTGTGTCAGTCTTGTCTTTGAAAGAGGGACTGTCTGCTAATCGGTTTGTACATTGCCCCAATCTTGGTTGGTCCTTAGGAACTACTGTAATAAACATGATTAATAATAATGAAAACTTACATAGAGGGTATGAAAGTGGGGATCTTAATCATGCTATTCTTGCAATAGTGCTCTCCACTGAAGGCAAGAGATCTATTCTCCTGTCACAGGAAATGGGCAATATTCCATTGAGCTTGTACCCAGTGATATGAGCATACAGCTTCAGGAGAGCTTCTAACTAGCACTCTGCTGTTCGCTGTGACACCTTGGGTGTCCAACTTGGGCCCAGTAGAGTTGTAGCAAAAATAAGGGCACCAGGGGAATAATTCACAGTTTGGAACCCTCCTGCTGTGGAAGAGATGGATTTGGGTAGGTTGAAGGTGCATTTGAGAAACAGTGGAGGAGGTGGTGTATGTGTGGAAAGAGCAGAGCAATATTTGACAATCAAGGAGAAGTAAATGGAAATGGATGTGCTCATGTTGAAAGAAAGGGGACTAGAGACAGGTCAGAATGCAGTGGGTAGTAGAAAAAGTAGGTGAGCACAAAGTGTAGCAAGGTGATGAAAGGCAGCAGGCTGATAGGAACAAACACTCCTGTCAGTTTACCTTACTTCTCACAAAAGAAGGAGTACCAGGTCCTGGAGAGCGTGGGGGGGGGGTCCCCATCTGAGTTTGAGTTAGCAAGTTTTAACTAGACTGACTAAATCAAAATCCAGAAGATTGATCACAGCAGCAGTGTTCTTCCATTTAGTGTAGACAAAGCCTTAGATTTAAGCACCACAAGGGTGGCACCAACAAGCTGAGGTCTGGATTTTAAGAATTCCCCCTTACCATCTTGTAACGGGTTCAACTCACCAGCACGGCTCCTTCTGCAAGGTGGCTTTGGGAAGTAGCTGGCTGTTTCAACACACTCCCTTTTGGTGTCGTCTTCAGGGTACTGCCCTCCGGCAGTGCCCACTCTGGTCTTTGTCTGCACCCCCTTCGGGGGGGGAAGAAGAGGTGTCATTGTTCTTCCTTCACTACTCCAGGGTCCTCCCTACAACCCCCAGTTCTTCTACACAGGAACACCCAGCTCCCTCCAGGAACATCCAGCTCCCTTGCACCCACCAGGCCACAGTGGCCCATTGTCAGTCCCTCTCTAGCCCCTCTCTCCAGGCAGACTGCAGTCCCTACAGACCACTCCACCCTGGCAAAGGGTGCAGACCTGCTACCTCTGCCTACCAAGCTGCCTCCTGCAACCTTGCCTTCAAGCCTTATGGCCTGGGGCTTCCCTAGCCCAAGCTTCCCCAGCCTACAGTGTCTGCCTCTCACAGCCCCGCCCACCATGACTGCCTCTCGCAGCCCCTATAGCCTCAGGCCCGGTAGCCTGGGTTTGCTAGGCCCAAAAGTCTGGCCTGGCAGTCAGGTCTCTACTACCCTCCCAAGTAGCACACAAGCCCCTCTCTTCCTTCCAGGAGTTGCTCTTTATAGCCTCCACCTGGGCCCTCATTAGTTGCCTCAGCTGGGCTTGCCTCTGACTCCACTCCATCTCATCCCCTTAAAGGGCCAGTGCAGGGCAACACACTGTCACACCCCTCTTATCCACATTTGTCACATATACTTGGAACAGATGTGTAAGCAGGGTCTGAATCAATGATTCCATTACAGCCAGCAGGGATGGAAAAGAAATCCTGAGTGTGGTTATGTAAATACAATTTTCCCCTGCTTCGTTTAGATGTGTTATATGGTGCTTAAATCTAAGTGAGTCTAGTTGAGATTACACCAGTAAGCTTGGCTTAAGGTAAGATGATATAGTTGGAGTGATGTATCTTAAAATGAGCTACCAGGTCTAATGTAGATCTGGCCTAATTTAGCATCCTGATTCAGCTCTCTCAATGTCTTTTGAGGTCTTTAACTCTAATTTAGACATTGAGAGAGCTGATGATAGGATACAGGGGTTTTGTGCCACTCATTTTATACATAAGAGGCAGCATTTCAGGGTCTGTTAGTCTCTAATTGTATGAGCCTGAGATGATGGGGGGGGGAGGGGTTGGTTTTTATTTTAAACATAATTGTTTTTTCACATTTATCTGCAGCACATATTGGCTTTAACATGGCTGTCATATAAATCCTAGGCTATTTGTAATTATCCCTTTAGATTGGTCTGTGGGTTTTTATTTTTACATTACACTCCATATTGCAAGTCTGGAAAGTGTTGATTGAAAATAAAGTCACTTTCTTCTAAAGTCTTTGCAAACTGATTTTATATTTATTTCAGTCAGGTTATCAAGACGTGTAAATCAACGTAACTGCACTGATTTCTCAAGAACTGTCTTTTTTACACCAACTAAGATCTGGCTTGTCCTATCAATCACATGGTCCTATGTCTTTCAATTCAGGATCATCTTCTACTGTCCTTGCTCAGGCAAAACTCTCATCTGTCTTCATCTGGAATTTTGCCTGAAGAAGAGCTATGAGATTTAGCTCCTATAGAATACTGTATGCATTTCTGAGTCTATTCACTATCTTGTACTTTGGTGTAGATACTAAATAATAGTATTTGCATTTGTAGCATTAGAATCTGTTGCCCTTGGGATTGACTTGCACCTTACTGTTGACCCATATGAGGAGAGATTAATAAGACTTGGACAAATGACTAAGATGGGATATAATATCATGACTGTTGTGGAGAAAGTAAATACAAAAGTGTTATTTACTCTTTAGAATACAAGAAATAGGGGTTATGAAGTGAAATTAATAGGCAGCAGGTTTAAAACAAAATGAAGTATTTTTTCATATAACACACAGTCAACCTGTGGAACTCTTTGCCAGAGGATATTGTGAAGACCAAGAAAAAAATGTTAAAAAAACTAAATACATTCATGGAAGATAGCCCATTCATGGATATTAGCCAGGATTAGCAAGTTAGTGTCCCTAGTCTCTGTTTACCAAAAGCTACAAATGGATGGTAGAGGATGGATCACTTGATAATTACTGTTCTGTTCATTCCCTCTGGGGTACTTGCATTGGCTGCTGTTGGAAGACAGGATACTGGGCTAGAGAGACCTTTGGTCTGATCCAGTATCACTGTTCTTATATCCTACTAATCTAATGTCACTACTCATGGTATAAGGTGCTATTTAATAACACATAAAATATTAGACTCTGGTTCATAATATCCTTAATTTTGTGCCATGTTCTAAAATTTAAAAACAAACAAACCATAATGCTGTGTATTTCGATGTCTTCCTTTAGACCAGATTGTTTGAACATTTTATAACTGTTATCAAACAATGTTGGTGTAAATAGGACTGGTTCATCAATCAATAATATAATATTACTGGAATAAGCATTTACCTTATTTTTATTCTGAAACCAACTACTTTATTGGCCCAATCCTACAAACATAAGTGGGTGAGTATCTTTACTCACACAAATGGTTACACAGAAGTAAATGGGATTACTTGATTGACTAAAGTTACTCATAGGTGTTTCTAGGATTGGTCTCTTCCAGGGTAATCCTCAAAAAAGTCAACTTTGCTTATTTCTAGCTAGACAAGTATTGGAAAGTTTCTCAGGGATATTGATATCATTTCCATGGAGTGAAGCGTTTCTGGACACATCCTAAGGGGCAGAAGGAAGTGTCAGAGGAGGTGGAAGTAAAGTTGCAACTCTCCAGCCAAACAGAGGAATTTAGCAGTTCCTGTGGTACCCGTCATCACAGATGCTGACGTTCGTTTTCACTGGCTATTGCTCCTTCCCACCTTTAACCAATGCTAGTGGAAGGCAGGGCTTCAGGGGGAAGAGGCCAAGTAGGGGCAAGGACATGGAGCAGGGGCCTCAGGGAAGGAGATGGATTCCAGGCAAGGCCTTAAAAAAAAAGAGGTCAAGCAGCAGCAGGGCCTTGCGATGACGCATGAGTAGACGGAGGAATGGTCCAGGCTCCAGAGCCCACAAAAGATTAATCTGGACCTGCAGGTGCTGAACCCCATGGGTGGTTTTTTTTGTGGGTACTGAGCCCCAGAGCACCCATGGAGTCAGTGCCTATGCCTGACATGGTCATATGTTTGGAGAGTAAGTGCCACCTTTAACTTGGGATCATGATTCTTTAATAAGATGTGCTGCCATTGGGTCCAGGATTGCTCTGTACTTTCTCTTTCCAAGCCAAGGTAGAGGGTATACAATTTGCATATATTATTTAGGACAAGGACAACATTAATTCCCAGGGTGGATTTTGAAGATCACTCCATGGGGCTGCCTAGAGATGATGCCAACTAGAGCTCTACCACCAATTGGCCATGTCTCCTCGCCAAAACACCCACACTAGCTGAACAGTATTCATAAAGGGCAGCTGCATGCTAACATGGAAGGGTGATGCTGCAATGAACCCTTTCCCTGAGTCTCTGACACTATTACTGGAATTCACTATTCTGGAATTTCCACAGCTTTCATTCTCCTGTTGTCACGCAGGAGAGGGGGTAACATGGCCCTTTGTCTTCAATAGCCAACTTCTTAGAACAATCTATACTGTCTGTAATGGAAAAAAACAGTACCGATACAGACATATTTTTCAAGGGGAATTGTAAAGAAACCTGTGACAGACTGTTGCTTTTCTCTGCTATTTTAAACATTAGAATGAAGAAGGGCTCTCGCAGGAAGGAATGATGGATAGTACAGATATGCCAATGGATCCAGATAATGAAGCTTATGAAATGCCTCCTGAGGTAAGTCTTCCTTAGCTATGCTCTCTGAATTTATAGAGCTAATGGACATCTGAATATTTAGCACAGGGACTTTACGCCAGAATGATCCAGCTGCAGGAAAGGGATGATGATGGCACTTACATAGTTACACAGAGGGTTGTCTCCTCTCTATGGGTGTCAAGTGGTCAAGACGTTGCAAAATGGAGGTAGAGGTCCATGACTAGCTTTTTTCTCCCTAGGCTGTGAAAGCAGCCAGCCACGCAGGGGTAAATGAAGCTGCAGTATAGCAGCCTCTGACACTAGGATCGCAAGAGTCAGAATTCATCCTGAAGGAAGCACACGCATCTGAGGTTCCACACCACCCACTGATTTGAGTCAAAATGGCACAATCAAGCCCAGTGGCATCAAGTTCCCACTTAGCTGTCAGTTTCTGTGTGTAAGTGCTCTGTTATGTAATTAAGTAGTAATAATGAATCAGTACTCTGTGTGAGAGAGAGCCTGTCATTAGGATGAATGCTAAGCCATTGTTTTGTGCAGCCAGCTGTCTTTATCAAGAGACTGTAGTTCCTGGAAAATAATTCTTTAGGGCCAAGTGACCTTGGAAGCAGGCAAACAGCACCTTATGAACTTAATGGGAATTGCTCATGCATTGGAAGACAGAAGTTGGTTTTTAGCACTGCAGCAGTGAAGTACCTGAAAGAAAGAGACAAGACCATGCTTTCTAACTACCCTTTTAGTGCACTCAGAACTCCTCACTTCCCCCACAATAGTACTCTCTAACTAGGAGCATATGCAGCACCACCTTTTGCATTTCTGATTTCCCTCACAAGTTCTCTCAAAACCCAGTATTGTATTAGGTATTTTCCTTACAGTACTCACATTTGAGAGAACAATTATATTTGCATGCATATGCACGCACACACACTCCAGAATAATCCATAATTAATTTCCTTTTTCTTGTTTCTCTTTATAAGAGATGGAAGGAAATTATACCATTGTTGATATATGAGTTAAAAAAATCTATGTTCACAGTAACGTCTTTCAACAGCTTTCTAATACTGTGGATAACACTGTATAGTACACTGTACATTACTATTACTTTTTTTGGCTCATGAAAACAAGAATTTAAAATCTTTTGTCTCTTAGGGCAGATCTATGCTACAGGGTTAAGTTGACCTAAATTATGCATTTTCCGCTAAGGGAATAAAATAGCAAGATTGGACATAGCTTAGGTCAACTTATTGCAGTGTCTATATCACTCTGAGTCAATGGGAGAAACTCTCCTATCAACTTACCTTATGCTTCTCATACTGGTGGAGTATTGGAGTCAACAGGAGAGCCATCACAGTTGATTTAGTGAGACTTAATTCTTCCCTGTCAGCTGTGTGTTTGTGGAGCAACTCAGGAGAATGTCACCCAGCTGATTAGCAGAGCATCTACTGGTAGGGTCTTTTGTTTCTACTAATGGTGCACATTTGCATATGCCTCAGTATATATAAAATACAGAAGAATGGCTTATGCACTTGTTATATATGGAAATGTGATTTTCTCTGCTCATTAGTTCTCTTGGGAATTCTCTAGCTATCAAAAGCTTTAAATAAACTTAGCCATTGACATGGAAGGTGAACGGCAAGTTAACACCAGAGGAAGTCTAATTAATCTGTAAATGCCTTTCTGTGGTGAATTAAGTATTTGGAAAAAATCTGAAATACTGTCAACCAAATAAAGATAAATAACCAGATTGTGTTCTAATTAAAATGAGTGACCTTTTTTCATTAATTACCAATTTTAACTTTTGCTCTCCTCAATAGGAAGAATATCAAGATTATGAACCTGAAGCATGAAAATATGTTCCCTCTATGTTCTGAAATCTTCTAACAAAGACGTCCTGTCCTGTACAAGTGCTGAGTTCCAATGTGCCCAGTTGTAAACTTTTTTTTACAGCTTTTACAGTGTATTTTGAAGTCTTCCATCAGCAATGATTGGAGTGTCTGAGACTGTGCCCAGGTTTCATTTCAGTGATTCCCTCCTACTGAATTGAACAACTGGGTGTCAGAGTCATTGATGTGCTGTGGATATTGTGGCTTCAACTTTTAAATGTACAAAAAAAATAGAAAAAACCCACCTAAGTGTCTATTGCTTATTTATAAAGCTGTACATGTTTTTTTGATTGTCAGTAACTTTGTATTGTTTCTGATACAAGGATTTTATTTGTTTTGTATTATTATTCTGTGTTGGGGTTAACATATTGTGAGAATTGTTATATATATATATAAAATGAAGCATGAACTATGCACCTATAAATATTAACTATTAATATTTTTATTGTTCGTGATGTATTTTATTAATGTGTGTCTGTAAATAATGGTGTACAACTGAAGCAAATAAAATGTAATTCACTAAAAATGAACTTTCAAATTGGTGGTGAGTTGGAGCACTTTTTTATGCTCCAGCTCCTTAATAATTTTGGTCGCCCTCCACTGGACATCTTCATGGTAGGTGTAGAAGAATGAAATAGTCTGAAGCATGGACCTGGTGCTTGAACCAAAGTAAGCAAGAGTTACACTATGAGTAATAGGCTGTGTCAAAAGCAGATGTTTGCCTGCAAGTCAGTTTCGCTTGGCACTAGAACTGCTAACGCTGATAAAAGCACATGGTGTATATAAATTCATTTCACCATGACAGTACAAGGGCACCCATCTGAGTATATGATAAAATAGTTTGAAACAACAAGAGTGAAAGCATAACAACGGGTAGGTGAAAGCTTTGGAAGAAGTACAAGGGGAGATACCAAACATGTCATTGTGCATAAGATGATACATACCTTGTGTATCATAGATTGTTTATCTCTGTCAATAAATGTTGGGATACCTTGACTTAACTATTTGGCTGGCTTAGGGGACAATAGTGAAATCCATACTATTGACTGAGGCGAGTCCATTGTCACAGGTACAAATGCATAGGAGCTCAGAGGCCATCTGTCTACTGACGACTATTAATGTACTTCGACAATAAACCTGACTTGGGTGCCTTCATATCTTTTCAAAATCTGTGGTCTTTGAGGGCTCGCATGAAGTCTATTATGCCAGCTACCTGTGCAGAGCTGCATGATATACTGAGGAAGCATACGGAAATGCATGCAGACAAACATTTATCATCATTGTCAGAGCAGGAGACCTGTCAGGACACCACACCAGTGAATCCTGAATTTACTGTATCACTGTCCTGGCTTACTACATTAGGAAACACATTGCAATACAAAGAACACCTTAGACTAGATACTTCCATTCCCATTCAAAGTCCTTCTTTCCTTTCCTTTCCTTTCCTTTCCTTTCCTTTCCTTTCCTTTCCTTTCCTTTCCTTTCCTTTCCTTTCCTTTCCTTTCCTTTCCTTTCCTTTCCTTTCCTTTCCTTTCCTTTCCTTTCCTTTCCTTTCCTTTCCTTTCCTTTCCTTTCCTTTCCTTTCCTTTCCTTTCCTTTCCTTTCCTTTCCTTTCCTTTCCTTTCCTTTCCTTTCCTTTCCTTTCCTTTCCTTTCCTTTCCTTTCCTTTCCTTTCCTTTCCTTTCCTTTCCTTTCCTTTCCTTTCCTTTCCTTTCCTTTCCTTTCCTTTCCTTTCCTTTCCTTTCCTTTCCTTTCCTTTCCTTTCCTTTCCTTTCCTTTCCTTTCCTTTCCTTTCCTTTCCTTTCCTTTCCTTTCCTTTCCTTTCCTTTCCTTTCCTTTCCTTTCCTTTCCTTTCCTTTCCTTTCCTTTCCTTTCCTTTCCTTTCCTTTCCTTTCCTTTCCTTTCCTTTCCTTTCCTTTCCTTTCCTTTCCTTTCCTTTCCTTTCCTTTCCTTTCCTTTCCTTTCCTTTCCTTTCCTTTCCTTTCCTTTCCTTTCCTTTCCTTTCCTTTCCTTTCCTTTCCTTTCCTTTCCTTTCCTTTCCTTTCCTTTCCTTTCCTTTCCTTTCCTTTCCTTTCCTTTCCTTTCCTTTCCTTTCCTTTCCTTTCCTTTCCTTTCCTTTCCTTTCCTTTCCTTTCCTTTCCTTTCCTTTCCTTTCCTTTCCTTTCCTTTCCTTTCCTTTCCTTTCCTTTCCTTTCCTTTCCTTTCCTTTCCTTTCCTTTCCTTTCCTTTCCTTTCCTTTCCTTTCCTTTCCTTTCCTTTCCTTTCCTTTGGCCATTGTATAACATCGCTAGGACAAGTCTAGCTATTGCATCAATGTAAAATTGATATAACAAAGTTAAATGTAAGATTTAGTATTATTAATGTTGATTACGGTTTTTAATTGTGGTTTGGCAGATGGAAGCATGTAGAAGGCCTAGCACTGTGGATTTAACCTGCCAATGAACACTGTATGGACCAAATATAGGCAACAATTTGAGAACTGTTGCACTAGAGCTGAGAATGACAAAGCTACTTAAGGGAATCAGATGTCCAATAGCTTTGAAAATATCATGCATTTCTGAGTGTCTTTTCTTCCCTGCACCTCACATAAGAGGTACCCTTAGTTTTGCTGAGTCATGACACCAAAGTGAATTATTTACAGAAGACATGTCCAGCTTCTCAGAGTGAGCATTCCTCATATAAGCCAAGGGACAGGCTCATGAAAAATATGAGCTATATAAATTTACTTCTCAGGGGTCACAAGTCTTTGCCTCTAAGAGTTAATTCTTTTTTTTCCTAGGTTAACATCAAGAAATCATTCATAGTATAATGGCATTTTTAATATACTATAAGTGGTATCTCTGGTTCATGTACTACTTAAAAACATGCCCTCAGATGGCCTGAAAGGCCCATACGTTCTCACTGTTACTATGGCAACACAGTGTGAGCCAGTCATGTCGTGCTGTGCTGCATTTTAATTAGCTTCCTCTAAGGCTGCCTCACCATCATTTTCAGGTAAGCTAAATGCCAATTTGTATTATTTCCTGCAGTGCAATGAAAGCAAATGTGTGGACTGCAAATGTCAGAACTGAGTTAGACCCTGGCAAAGTGAGATCTAAACAAATATTACTGTAACATGATCTAAAGAACATGCCCCTTATATTAATAAAACAAAACAAACCCCCTCCCCCCCAAAAAAACCCACTAATGCTATTGTGATACTGTTTGTTTATGTGATGTCTGCTAGCAAATAGTGAACATTTTAAAGTGAATAGAAAGCAAGGAAAGGAGAGACCTTTTGACTTAGGCATTGGCTTTGGGGTTATCAGGGGAACTAAAAAACAATATTCTGTACTCTATTAAATAATAAATGACAAATTTCTCCTTATTCCATTTTCCAGGGAAAACCATGTGATTTTTTTCTATTTTGATGGCCTTAATTACTGTATTAATGACTCCTAATCAAGTTCATTAATTTTCTTACTGTAAATCATGGTGTCATTAAGATTTGCTATACATACTTTTGATGCAATTATTTTGAGAAAACTGGATTTGTCAATGGGAAAAATGCAAGAAATGACCATAATAAATTACAAACTGAGCTTTCAGCCATAACATTCCCTCTCTAGACAGTAATACGAGGTTAGGATAAATTGCAATGTACTATATCTGGAGAACTATGGGAAACACCTTGCATATGAATAACACTCTTCACGATGCATTTGTTTTACTTACTGGGACATGAATGTGCTTTCCTGGGGTTCGTTGGTCCTGTACTCACTTTCATGATACATTTTCTGAATAAGTAATAGTTTGGACTCTTCCACGCTGGCAAACCTGATAGCAGCAAACCCAAGAGTTTCCTAACTAGCAGGGAATCTCTTTACATCATCCCTGGCTTAACAGCAACAGTGAGTGGAACCCAATGACTTGGATATCAAAATGTAATTCTCCAACACAGAGCATTCAGGCTTTGGTGAATATTCAAAATGCTTTTTGTTAGTTGCTGGAGCCCTTCTTGAAATGCAGCTGTAGACAGCTGCAGAACAGTATTTTAGTCTTGCCTACAGGTATCTATAAAATATTTATATACCACACCAGCTATGTGGCTACTTTGGGGGTCTGATTCAAAGCTCAGTTACAGTTCATGGAAAGACTCCTATGGATTTCAATGGCCCTTGAATTGGGTCTCACCATAATATGATGTCTAATCTCTTCTCAGCATCATGAGGTCCCAGTGGATTTCTAACAGTTTCCTGCTGTAGGCTCCCTTTACTATAGGAGCCTCTGACTTTTATTGGGCGAATCCTTTGTGCTGCACTCTAGCCCTATAGACTACAACTCCCATGAGCCCTTGGAAAAAAGGAGGGAAACAGTGACTCTTCCAGGCATGGAGAGAGAGAGTTAGGGGAGGCTCCAGATTGCTCATGGGGAGCCTTTTCCAGGCCAGGAGCTGTTGTGTTGGAGCTAGAGCCTGTTACTGAGAGCCTGCCAGGACTTGGATCTAGTAGGCTGCTTCAGGAGCTGTTGGTGATTGTCCCTGGAGGGGAGAGACTCTGGCTGTGCCTGTGATTAATAAGAGGCTGCATAGAGATAACTGTGAGTTACTGTGGCTGTTTGGGAAAGTGCTGCCTGGGTCAGAGCACAGAAGACAGACTGACTCTGCGTCCAAAGAGAGCCAGGGTGATCTGCCCAGTGAACCACAGTTGCTGGCATTTGGTGGGACCTGTTCCAGTGGCAGTGGGATTTTGCAGCTGGCTGCCTGCCTGGACTGACACACACAGAACCTGCCCAGTGCTGTCTGCACTTCAGCTGCAGACCTTCCAGCGCACTCACGCAAGCAAGTCAATCCAGAGGAGGGCACACTCTGGGGTGGGATACATGGTGACAGTGTAAATGCCAGATAGATAAGTTTCCTTTATTTCTGTGTACTTTGCTAGTTGATTTTATTCACATTTAATCTGTTAAACCCTATCTCTTTAAGTTGTTAAGTAAAGGTGTGTTAATTCTAAGTTACTCAATTAGATGTATATTATTTAGAATTGTTGTCTTGGAGTTAGATCCAGATTATTACTAGAATAAGTTTATTCCTGGAGGCTCCCAAGGCATACCATTAAGTGTGTAGAGGGCCAGCCAGGTAGAGGCACCACCACAGTATATTCCTTTAGGAGCAAGGGACAGCCGCAAGGGGGTGGACAGGGAATCCCCAACTATCCAACATCACCACTGGGGTACTCAGGATCTCCTTCTACATTAAAACCATCAGGCTCCCAGGTACATAGGTGAGTGTGGCCTGCTCCTGAGTAACCCAGGGAGGAAAGAGGGGGTTACACTGGTTTTCTCTCCATTCTGAGTAGGCAGGAAGTGTTGGAGGGCTATTTTTAAGATATCATTTGCCCAGTTAGTATTTTCATCAATAGTGTAGTGTGTTGGCTGGACTGAGACAAAAGCCTGTGACTTTTAGTGAATTGTAAGTCAAAATGTGTGGGTTGTGTCATTATTCCTGCCCCTTTTAGATAGATCAGTTGGCCCACTGCTGAAGAAATATTCCAGGGACCTGATTCAAAGCTCACTGAAGTGATTGAGTAGTTATCGTCATTTGCTATGACCCATTTTGATTGACTTTAGCATGACAAAACCACCGCCTCTTCCACGAATCTGCTGCTGCTATAGAACAGGGATGGGCAATTAGCTGGAGGTAGTTCAGGAGGATTAACTCCTCATGGGCCACCAGTGCTTTACTTACATGAGCATCAGCAATTACAGCCGCCTGCAGCACCCATTGGCTGCGGATTGCTGTTCCCATCTATGGGAAGATGCAGGAAGTGGTGTCCCAATCTGCACCACTTCCTGCAGCTCCTATTGGCCAGGAACAGCTGCAGCCACACAGCTAAACTTGGCACTAGAACTGCTAACGCTGATAAAAGCACATGGTGTATATAAATTCATTTCACCATGACAGTACAAGGGCACCCATCTGAGTATATGATAAAATAGTTTGAAACAACAAGAGTGAAAGCATAACAACGGGTAGGTGAAAGCTTTGGAAGAAGTACAAGGGGAGATACCAAACATGTCATTGTGCATAAGATGATACATACCTTGTGTATCATAGATTGTTTATCTCTGTCAATAAATGTTGGGATACCTTGACTTAACTATTTGGCTGGCTTAGGGGACAATAGTGAAATCCATACTATTGACTGAGGCGAGTCCATTGTCACAGGTACAAATGCATAGGAGCTCAGAGGCCATCTGTCTACTGACGACTATTAATGTACTTCGACAATAAA